AATCAAAATCTACAAGCACCAACAATTTATTACGTTATGCCAAGTTTATGCTCCTACATTACAAATTTATAAATTTTGTGTGAATTTGCTCCTGTACAGGAAACTAAAATATTATCATATTGATTTGGGAACCTGGCTCTCTATGTTCTTTCTCCTGTAATTGAGTTTCTATTATCTGCTAATATATACAAACAAATTTTAACAATGCTATCAATATGAGCAGTTCTTATTTATTAACAAACACCAATTTCAAAAAGCTACACGGCGAATTCTGTGCTCCGCCGTATAGACACCAGGTTTCTACAGTACCAAAATATAACATGACACATAAACATTACCCTTTAAATACAACAACATATCTTGAAGAAAACAAATTCAGTAACACTCACTCATTCATATATATTTACACTACATTCATTCACGCGAGTTCACTCGTTTTGAAAGTAATGAACTCGCTGGATCCGTAAAATGGAGCCGTTTCCGCTGCTGCGATTATTTGCGCCTTCTCGTCGCGTCGCATCCTTTTCTTTTCAAACTCCAAATCGAAACACTCGCGAACTATATTCCTTACAATTGAACTCTTCGACACTCTCCGACATCCTACCACCTTCCAACCAACCTTTACATGAAAAACTCCAGATTTCACTTCTGCCACGATGTCAGCACTAGAAGATCGCTAACCTGTGTGTCTATTTGCATTGTTGTACACCTTCCTCTTCACCGCGCAATTTTAAAACAAAGGTCAGTTCTTTCTTCTGTCAAACTCGCGGTACATTTTAATATTTCAATTTTGGATGTCTTTTGGTTTCCGCAATTTCTTCATTGTAATAGTTTCTAACTAAACTTCCTTTAAAAAATGTAATTACCCTTTTATTAAATACGTCAGGTTTTAGTTATCGTATTGCATCTTTTTTGCAATCATTGTGACGCGTCCGAAAGCACCGCCACAATACGAAGTAATATACATAGAATAGGGAAAGTTATGTATTAAGTATGCGGAAAATCGATTTCGATATTTCAACGGAAATACACATCATGGGGTCCCCTGATACCAATTTTTTTTTTTTTTTTTCCTCTCTTTCAAAACATCCGCCTGTTTGTCCGTCCGTCGTTCGTCGAGTCAAGTCAAATCGTCGAGTCAAAAGTTGAGATTTTGAAAGGCATTCTTCAAAATTTGAGGGTACTTTACTAAAGCCCTCCGAGCATTTTCAAAGTTTTCTCAAAAACAGCTTCAATTTTTTTCTCGAAATTTCTTGTAAGGATAGAGAAGAAAATAAGCGTGGCATCGGTCCGATTTTGACGATTAACTCTGAATTTTTGAAAATTTCAAAAGTATAAATTTGTTTCGATGTCTTCCTACAACTATAAAATTGAAGATGGAATTTTTTTCGTAAAATAAAATTTGTTCTCAATTCTTTCATTAAGGTCATGTACATTTTTTAAAGAAATGTTAGTAGTTTTTGCGCAATATTGCATGCAATATGTGCAATTTCAAAAAATTACAAAAAGAAGATTTTCTCAAAAACCGCTCCAATTTTTGGTAGATATTGTGCTAAATGTACGCTATAAGATGACAAACGCCTTATTGCTCTATTCTTTTGTTTTTTTCAAAAATTAGAAAAATGTAATTTTTTGACTTGTCTCACATGCCATTAATATCAGCGGCAATTTGTTCACATTATTGTATTTATAAGTGTGTGTGCTTTAAATAGTGCCAAACAAAGTTTCTGGAAAATTTAACCGTTTTCTGTGAAAACTCCAAATTCCGCGCATTTAGAAACGCGCAAACGCCACTTTGTCAAAAACGGCTCCAATTTTTTTTCTTCGAACACTTCGAACTGATAGTGTTAATTGCACTCTTTAACATGGCGTAAAATTCATTTCGGTATATTTTTCTTTTCAAAAATCACACAAACGTAATTTTTTTTAAGATCTCTCGCCATTGATGTACACATTTCCATCAGTTTGTAAACACTATTTTATTTGTGAGTTGAAGTACTTAAAATGACTTCAAATTCAGTTTTCTGAAAACTCAAACATTTTCTGTCAAAAGGAACTTCAAATTTCGAATTTGCATAAGCATTTAAACGCCATTTTCTGAAAAACGGTCCCAAAGTTTTGAAAGAAAATTGTCTTTAAGACGGGGTTTTACTGATATTTAATATTTTGAAAAAAATATTTTCGTTTTACTGTTAGAAAACCAAAAATTAAGAATTTTTTTTTAATGTACTTGGGGCGGCGATAGCTGGCAGCTGGCAAGAGTATGTGACAAGTCCGAGAAGCTAGCTGAGACCAAAGGAAATAGAAAAATAATACAGGAAAGTCTGTACCATTCTGTAACACCACTTGTTTGTAGATAATTTCCATTAAAAGAATTGGTCACAGTACACGAGCAAGTAAAAGTTTAAGAAACCAGGTGGTTATCATACTGCTCTATCTTACAACCTCACTCATTTTTTTGTGGTACCTAAATTGACAATGGGGATGCAGTTACTTTAAGTAAGGAAAACATGTTTCCTCGAGGACTACGTGAACAATTGGTACGAAAAGGTATTTTGCAGCATATTAGTGATTAGATTTGTAGAAACTGCATAATTTTGTTTTTCAGTATTAAGTTTTGAATAAGTTATCTTTTAAAGTTAAAGAAGAAGAGGGGAACAAGGAATTCCGTAAGTGTGTAGGGATAAATATGTTTTCCTTATTTCGATATTCCACATTTCTCGGTGAAGTGTTTTGCGAATTTTTCAATTATTCAAATTTTGCGCGAGAAATGTTGAATGTCGAGGAGTGTTATTGCCAACATTGCACATATAAATGTATAGTTTAGGATTATTTGAACTACATCAAAGTTCGTTTCAATTGAAATAATAATATTCATATTCCTTTAAATATTAATTTTCATGTAATATCTAGGGAAAGCGTATTCTCTGAGGTAAAAAATCAAAATTAATTTCTTTCTTCGAATTTAATGAAATTGTTGGTAATGCTTACTTCGTTCGCTGCAATGTTCCCGCGTTCGCTGTGGATTGCTGAGTTGCTAGAGATGGTGGAGATGTTAAGAGTGTGAGTGATGTTTTGTATGTTAAATAATCTGTGAATAAGTTTTTTAGGAGCAGTGTTGTAATGAATGACGCAAACTGAAAAAGGAGGTAGGAGGAATAAATTGGCCTTGAAGTGTCAATTACTGAATTAATTTCAAATTATGATGTAATAATGAATGAACTTACTCTTTAGTTCGTATAGATCGTATTGTTGTTCCAGCTCAGGTCCATCTAGTGCCTTTAATCGCGGAATCGTTGGGCCCGAAGTGTTATCTTTGAAATAAAAGTTGACTGTCAGAAGTCATTCTTGACTTCCAAACAATGTTCGGCCAGAAAGGACTGGAACTCATAAAGGAATTGAATCGCACTCCTGATGTGTTACCGCCCTTCAACGATGATGTGATCCGCCAAGTTTTGGAGGAAATGAACGCTCTTTTTGAACAAAATCGAATGGACCTTGACAAGGAAAAAGATGCAAATTATGCCGGAGTTCACGTGAGACATGCATCTTTGGAAAGAAATAGGAGATGCCTTTTAGCATATCTATACAATAGGATAAATAAAATACGTCAGATGCGTTGGGAATTTGGAAGTATTATACCACCTGAAATAAAATATAATATGTGTGAGCCTGAAGTGCAATGGTTTAATAATTACAATAAAATTTTAGCCACATATATGAGAGGAATTGGGAACAAGCATGGACTGAACTTAACATTGGACAGACAACCTCCCAAAGAATTGTACATTGAAGTTCGATGTTTAGAAGATTATGGAGAATATGAAATGGACAATGGTGATGTAGTTACTTTGAGGAAGGGAAATATGTATCTGTTGCCTCGAGGACCATGTGAACAATTGATACGACAAGGTATTTTGCAGCATATCACTGACTAAATTTGCAGAGACAGCTTAATTTTGCACTTCATTTAGGTTTTTAATGAGTTATTATGCATTAAGTTCAGGAAGTTCTAGTAATTGTCAATATTTTTGTATGAAAAATGTATTTATGTGGTAGGATTCCCAGGTGATTATTATTTGGAATTCAGCAGTTATTGAAAGGAGATCAATCTTCAGTTCATCCGGGTCGCCCACCATTTCAGATTTTGCCAAGATATTGCATTCTTCTCTCATTGTATGATTTCTCCAAAACTGCATTAAAATTTGTGAATTAATTTAGCAGAAAATTAGTAATTGTACACATGTGATTTAGCAGTGGACATATTGCAGGTGTAATTTGTGATCCAACTATTGGATTTTCTTGAAAATTATGGTGGAACTAGAAGTGTAAATGCAAGTTCTCAATTATTGGAATGTTTTGTTCAAATTTTATTTGCATTTATTTATTAATGGCTTTTAACTGGCACATGTTAGAAAAGGCTAATAACTTTCTTTTTGGTGGAAAAACCTTGTTTGGATTCAAGACCACAACATTTCTCACAATTAAAAAAACACATTTTACACCTGATATAATTGCTTGAATTGTTTGTAGGAGTATTTTCTTGAAAAAGTCTTTCTTTCTTTGGGAATGTTATCAACTTTGTCACAAAATGTGTGAAAAGGATTCACAACTATCTTTGTCAGGACATTAAATTGATAGAGAAGATCAGTGTGGAAGCATGAATCAAAATTATCTGCTTCACTGTATGCCTACCTAGGAACCACACATCCAACTTGCCTTTCACAGAAGAATAACATTCCTTATGCAATTTAAAAAGATCTAATACCTATCTGAAAAAGTTCAGTTATGGTACATTCTCTCTATCAGCTTGCAGCAGATTTCTTACCAAAATTTACAATGTTAATTAGTGATTATTTTGCACCAAATCAAAAATCCATTAAATTAGTACAAATGTCCATGTAAATGTTTATAGCCAAATTCAACTTCTTGTTATTAAAATCCTTAGGATATGGTAACCGATGTATAAAACAGGTTCACTAAGTCATTCAGTTTGATTACAATTTTGATTCTTGATGCGTTTCATTCCATCATAACAAGAATTAATTACATAACAAAACACCTTTGATAGAAGTTGAATTCCAGATTTTGTAATGATTATTGCTGAAATAATGTGCCATAGAGTGAGTGTTTCTCTTCACTATTTTTTATTTTATGTAAATATCATTTTTAATTAATTGTTATTTGTGGTCCAATATCAAAGAAATTCCTTCGCTGACAACATTGTTATACATGTAGTTGGAAGAGAAACTGTGCTATTTGTGTGCAAATGTGCTATTTGTAATTTGTGTCTTGCAATAATTAAATAAAATTGTTAATTTTGCTACCTGAAAATTATTTTCTACATTGCCGATTGTTATTAATTTATGATGGTGCAGTTTTCGAACTTCAGCATAGATCCAAACAACTTATTCCTCCAGAATACAGAACGCAATAGAGTTATTAAGTTGGTAGTGGATTTGATTTAGTAGATTTTTTCTCATGCAATGACAAGTAGATATTATACACTAAAGACTACAACATTTTGTTATGTACTTTATTGTATGTATTATTATTGTATCTATTTAAGTGGTGTTGTGCAAGTTAATTGATTAAACACAAGCACAATATTCAGAAGCAGATTAACAACTTCATCACCTTTGTGCATGTGAAAGTTGCTGCTTATGTTTTTTAAATAATCCTGAAAAAAATTACATATAACAGGTTTGATATATGTTCAAAAATTGGACACACACACATTTATGACTAAAATAAAATATACTTTAATTAATAATTTATGAATGTTCAATTTTGGAGAGGGAATTACAGCTGGAAATATGTTTTGCAGTAGTAAATGTATCCAAGCTGTGACCTTGTTACCAAGTCACCAGTGCACTGACTCCACAGTTGCCTACCCTTAATTACACCAGAAATAATGAGTCCTGTATTAAGCAAAAAATTCTTCAGACTTAATGAAGAAATGTACTGATAATGGTGAATGCCAGAGATTCCCAACTGTTGGTTCTGACACCCTGGAAGACTTAGAGGTTGATAGGGGAATCAAGAGCTGAATATGAATCAGTGACTGATCAGTATAATGAAGCTTTCATTGATTACTAAACAAATATTAATGAACTTGCTAATAAATTGTTTTCTGATATAAATAATAAATTACAAATTTACTCCTCTTTTGTGATCACCATTCATCCTTAGAAGTCAGAATTTTATAAAACCTCAAGAAATTATAACTATACATACACAACAATTCTCTTTATCATGCAAGAAAAAACTCTATAGGACATGGGAGAAATGTTTTGACCAGTTCTTAAAAAACAAAAAGTTGCTCAAACACCAGAAGGTTTTGTAAAAAATACATTTTTGGGGATATGAACTTGCTCAGTAATTATTAATGGAAACACCTTTAATCCATTTGAGATGAATATTTTCATGGCACATGTGATTAAAACATTAAACTCAAATTACAAAAAGTGCCACTTTTGTGGTGAATCTATATTGAAAAGTTATAGGTACTTTGCTAGCCTCCTAGGTAGAGATGTCAACATTTCAGCCATGATGCTGCGATCTTTCTCAGGAAGTGCATTTGCATGCTAATGCATTTTGCCACCAATAGCCAAAACTATGCCAAGGACACAGTGTCTACCAGACAGCCAATAGATACTGACTGGCCGTGGAAGCCTAAATTTCACTTTTGTGCTGATTACCTTGTCTATTTTACTCCATAGGAAATGCCAAGAACATTTGATACACAATGCCCCATCATCCTAATTCCAAATTCTCTTCATTGTATGTGTTACACACACACATTTATAAGAAACAAACACACCCTTGAGTAACTGAGAATAATTGAATTGTATCAGCGAATTCATTTACCTACTGTCTCCCATTGCTTTGTAATCTTATTGTTAAATAATGGACTCGAGTCCGTATATTTGGAAGTAAATGAACTATTACAGCTCTCCTCAGTCCTTAAATCTATTTGGTGAAGGTAAAAATCAATTGCATTCCACAGATTTTGGTATAACAGAAAAGCAGACACATGCCACTCAGAAAATCTCATTACACTTCAACACTCTTTACTATTATACATAACTTGAAATTATGTATTTGTACAGCCCTGAAAATGTTTTTATTGTCCTTAAGGGATTTTTGTTTCTTATGCTGACCTACATAGAGATCCTTCTTAAAATTCTACATAGATATTTGTTTATGGTAACCACCACTTTGTAGCAAGAGTTGTCAGAAACTTTCAAAGCTGTATTCCAACAAAGCTGTTGCCTTGAGATGAATTGCATAGTGTGAAATCAGTTCTAATTGTATGATTAAATTTCCATTTCGGAGGGAGGGTGAATTGCAGCCAAATTGGCAATGGTCTACAACTACAGGTAGGTCAAATACAGAGTTTAAAGAGAAGGGAGTAGGAGTTTTCTTATCTTTTGACTTGACAGGGAACTTCAATTTTATTCCTACACTGAGAATGGTACCATGATGGAGCCATTAGTTACTGTGGGCAAATATGTAATACTTTTCTGAAGTACCTATGCAATATTTAGGCACCGTGAAGGTACATTTCACTGGGAAACATCTGTAGAGCAATAGGTACTGTGTAAGAACCTGGTATACATTTGAAGTGCTGATACGTGGAAAGAGTTTTCTAACATTTTGTTTAATGTATCTTAGAATCTAGTGAGCTAATTACTTTGTGCAATAATAGTAGTATATTCTAATCCAGTTACAAACGGAGACTAGGATCATGGTGTGTCCAATGAGCTGATGCTGCACATTAGAATTATTTATTGTATAATTCAGGGACAAGAAAAACAATGTAAACAATTTTAATGTGTATTTATCTTGAAAAAAGTATCTTACAAAATATAGTCGACGATGAAGTATACAGCCTTATTTAAAATTAAATTTAATGTTTCATAAATTTCACAGTATCAAAAAATACTGATTGTTAAGTTAGTTCTGTACAAAGACTGAGAAATTGTCTTAAAAATAACACAAGTAGCCACTAAAGTTTAAGTCCTCACAATCAACATGCAGTTTCAAGAGTACTACATTTCCCACGGGAATTTCACTTCAGATTCGTCTAACACCATTTCGGACACATGATCGGAGGGAAGATCTGCAACAAAAAAAGCATTATTCTTCAACCATTTCAAGGTTGATAAATTCCTTTTAGATTTTCAAAAGATGGATAGCATAATTATTTGTTTGAAACAAAAATTAAACTATTTATTGAGAAAACCTTCAGTAGAAATAAAAATGCTTAATGTTCTATAAAAAACAAGAGCTGAAATTATTGTTTTGATAATTTATACACTCCTGTAAATTATAATCCTAATACCTAAACAAAAATGGATGTCTTCATCAAATTCTTGAGACACTGGACTAGGAGAATGTTCTCCTCCACATTTCATTCCCATGTCCCATATGTTAGCAGCATGAAAGAAATTTTCAATTGTTGGGGTCTCTACATTTGGCCATAAAGAATCTCCATTATCTGAAACAAAATAATTCAGTAATATAATACAAAACAAATTAGATCATTTCTATAATGAAATCCATCGTTGACAATCCCAATTTCAACCATCTAGAAGGATATTATAATTTCAGAGAGGAAAGAGCACCTTAAATTACATCAAAATAAATGATTGTATGGCTCACAAAACACCACTAGCTAATTATTTGTCCTTACCTTGCAAAGATGCTAAAGGAGTACATATAGGGAAACTTAATATTCACTGCAGTCTTTCGTAAAATTATTATTTAAATGTTAGTTTTTTTAAAAAGTATGTTACTTAATTTATGAAACAATCCTTATTTGGAACCAACAACATACCATCTGACCAGAATGAAGGCCCATGGCTTTCCACTTCAGGCCACTTATCAACATTATTGTAATCAGCATCATCTTCCCAAATCAACTGAGAGGTCAATGGTCTCTCTGGTAAAAGATCCTTTTCCAATGTTCCTGATACTCGATTGGCGCTGAGACATGTCACACTGGAGGCACAATAGCTTTCTGGTTGAGATTTTTTAATACTGTCTTTTGAATTTGATACACTCTTCAATTGCAAACCTTTGATTTTATTCCCAACATCACCAAGGACCTTCTTTCCCTTAAGAGATGGTCCGTCATTTTTAATACTTTGTTTTCCTGGTAGAACACCTGTACACAAAAATTTTTGCTGCATTGACATGAACAAAATAGCACAAATTACAGTGGGTCAGAATATCGTTTAATACCTTCAGAAGGCACATTTTTTATTGCTGCAAACCCCTGTGGTATTGTGTTGAGAGTAGAAGGTTTTACAGAATCACAAGATCCAAAAATATCAAATATGGTTTCCATTCTTCCAAATTAACTGTGATCCAAAGAAATTTCTTACTACCTGGAAAAAAAAGAAAAAATCTTTATTGGTTATCAAGTTCTAACAATTTATCCTTAATTTTAATCCTCATGATTAATTTCTAAATTAAAAAAAGTATATTTAATATTAATTGTACAGATATTTACAATTTATAACAAACATATATAGAAAAAAGCAAATGACCACTGAAGATTAAATCACAAAATGTAGTTTAATGAACAAAACTTAAAGTGGTAGATATACTAGTTTAGAATTATAGAGCCTATAATTATCCTACCTGTAACCACAAAAAAAAAAAAAAAAGGACACGATACATTAAATAAACTGGGAAGGAAATTGTACATGTATTTCAATATTTAAAACGTTTAAAAATGAATGCCAAATGTAACACACAACTACAACTTCACTTTTAAGAATTCTTAACTTGAAACCGAACATTAAGATGCTCAAAACAAGAGCCCTTTTCTTCCCTTCTTGGAACTTTTAATCAAGTGAATTCACGACAAAGGAAATCAATGTCAAATTAGAAGTTAAGTTCCCATGCAGTTAATCAGGAACATAACTATCTAAAAAAAAACTTCACTATAACCAGTACTTGATTTATAAACTTTTAGGTCCCGGCATGCGCCCAAAATTAATTTAATAGATACAGTTACCATGCATAGTTATATTGGAATTTAATGATTATATCTGAGGTACCGGATCGCAGTTTCGTCGCGTTCAGCCAGAAATCAAGCCCGGGTTACAAAGTACCACGATAATAAAAATTATTTCACCCACACATTATTTAATGTAATAGGAAGAATATCGTGTTGACAGCTATGAAAATACAGAGAAAATTATTTCATCCACATATATATTTAAAACATTGAACATAAGCTGATAGCACGTGCTAGTAACTCATTGGAACGATTTAAACTATGATAAATATTTGCCATTGTCCACAATGCTCACGAAATTGGAAATTATTTGGAGATGCAGCAAAAGCCATTGGTGTACCATGAGAAAAGCGCTTTCAAAAATCATAAATAAAATTCCATACCTTGGTCGTTTTCGCTCAGAATAGAAGTAAACGGTTGCCAGAAATTGCTCCAAATCCTTCTCGGGCAAATAATGTTAAGTGCTGTTCACCAGTTCGAGACAATATAATACCCTCAGGCTCAAGCTGCGTTGCAGATTCTGGCAGATTCGTTGGTTGGTGATCGTTGGTTTGAAAGAAGGGCATTTAAATTATCGTATCGTTTCGATTACATGAGATATCGATAGTCCGACTTAACAAAGTCGACCATGTTCGCCTTCTCGATCAAAAAACATGGCTGCGTGCTTGAGCAGCAGAAGACGGAGAGTGTCATCTATATCCGCGATTTTCTTTGACTTGGATAACACACTCATTAAAACAAGAAAAGGCGATAAATTAGCATGTGATAAGGTACTGTACATGTTGACGGCCTAAATAATCGCCGTCTATTCTTTCAATTCCATTTGTGAGACGTAGTAGGCAAGGTCAAATTTAGAAGGTCACCACCCAACGTGTTGCATGTTGGCTCTGAGATCGAAGCGCGTGTGTGTTCAAACGTGACTTGTGATACAGCAATGTGCATGGCGGCTTAAAATAGACCGCTCATTCGGCCAACGAACTGTACAGGAAACTCTATACAGAATTCCCCGATTTAGCTGTTTTGGGGCGTGGTGCGTTGAGTATTCCCAAAATAGCTCCTGGCAAGAAAATGATGTCGAAGGGGAGTGAACGCAGTGAGGCAGTAGATTCGGGGTGCGAAATCTGGAGAGGTGAACTGCTTAGTGCTGGTATATGCGTTACGGTGTTGGGGTTTTTAATCCAAGAACACACGTGTGTTAGGTGTATATAATCACTCTTTCGTGTTATTGTGTGTGCTGTTTCATTATAATTTAGCATCATGAGTATTCCGGAATCTGTAAAAAAATGTGTTGCTATTTTGAAAGCAGCCGGAAGTGATACAGAAAAATTTGCCGGATTGTTTATGGTTACTAAACTTGTTAAAGCACCCGACTGTACAACTCAATGTAAAAAGTTATTATTAGAAGCAATAGGATTCAAATTTTTGAAGCGTCTCTTGACAAGTACAGAAGTCCCTGATGATTGCCCACCATTAGTGTATAAATCTGTTGCAATGTCTGTTCTTTCAAGTTTCTGTTCAGAGCCAGAATTAGCAACGCATCCAGAAATTCTAGCCAACATACCTGTTTTTCTGGAAGTTGTCCAACAAGCTGATGACGATGATTTAGATGATAATTTGATGGTAATTAGTGAGGCATATCAATGTCTGCAATTTATTGCAGCCCATGAACCTGGGCAGAAAGCACTTCTCGATCAGGGAGCTGTAGCTAAGATGTCAGAAATATATTCTCAGCAAAGTTTCCAAACAGATGAAGCTTTAAATATTTTGGTTTCTTTAGTTACCCGATTTGGGCCAAATTCATGGGATGAAAATCCTAAAGCATTTCATGCAATTGTGAATAAAATTGCATTGGATTTTGAAACCGACCATAGTGAAAGGAAGTTTGAATTATGTGGCATTCTTCGAGCATTACTGGTAAGCTGTAGGCGAGAGATCATTTCATCAACATCATCTGAGGCATTGTGGCCTATAAGTGTTTATAAAGGTCTAACTGATATTTTAACCAGTAAAATTGGAAAAGCACAACGTGATCCAGCTTTAAAACTTGCTTCAGCAATGGTAGAATTATTGGGTGTTGAATGGACTTTGACAGATGAAGAAAAACCACGGCAGTTTTTCTTATTACTTGTACAATTGAACTCCATTGAAGTTAGAATGCAACTTGAAGACAGAAACTTCAAACAAATAATGGTGAATTCTGATTTGGTCACTGCATGTTTTGTTACTCTGGAAATGTCAGTCTCATACATAGCAACTGATACATTAGATTTGGAACAGAAAGAAAAACAGTCACTATATACAGCTTTGAAAGGTGCTTTTGCTGCTGTAATAGGCACTCTTACAAATGTTTCAAAAGACTTTCCTAAGAATAAAGATAATTATAGTACAGAAGAGAAAGCATTTATTTTTGCTATGGTGAGAGTTCTTGCAGCTTGGTTGACTCAGGAAACATCAGCCATGAAAAATGCAGTGTATGCTCTTCTTCCATTTATTTTGAGTCTTGCTAATGAAACCTTTTATGCATGTCGCGCTAGGCGACTTGCAGAAAAGAGCAATGTTGATTCAAAGGATGAACAAGGATCGAATGTAAATGATGGTGACCTCCTTGCTCAAAGTGATATATTACGTCTCCTGCTTCCTTCCTTGTGTCACTTAGCGGTGGAAGAAGAAGCAAGAAAGATTCTGCTGCAAATTAAGGAAGAAGAAGTATTATATGAATGCCTGGCTTATCATTGGTCAATAGTTCACTGTAAGAAGCCACCTGTCCCAAAATCAGAAAGGGGGAAAGTGAAAGCTAATCCAGAACCTGAATTAGATCCAAAACTTCTAGAAGAAATGAAAGATTCCCGAACAGCTATGGTTAGCATTTGTAATGTGTTCATGAATATTACAGTCCTAGAAGCAAAGCTGGTCGAGGAGAGTCTATTATTCAACACTTTGCTGAAATTCATTTTTAACAATCTTCCTGAGCTCAAGAACATTCCTGATAATCTGGTTCTTCATGGAAATCTGGCAGTGTTAGGATTATTGTTACTGAAACAACAATCAAAACGATTGAAGAAAAATGATTTCACTATATGTCGATTCATTCAGTCCACCATTCGATTCCTTTGGGATGCATTTAATGTTGACGAATCCAATGATGCATCATCTTTGGTAGTGACAATGGCATATAAAAAATACTGGTTTGAATTAATGGAGCTATGGTTTCTGGGAATGCAGACAATGAGTGCTGTTCTTGCACTTGTTCCATGGATTTCTGAGTTTGCGATTGAAAGTGGTTGGGCCCAGGGTATTATTGACACTTTGCACAAAGTAAGAAAGGGATCATTGCCAGCAAACACTAAATCAGCATATGAGGATTTCTTGTGCCACCTAGTTGATGCCAACAACAGTGTTACTACAGTATTGAAAGAGCATGATGCTTTGTCAGTTTGCCGAACCCATCGTTTTATGGAGCTGGGCAAGAAGCTCTTTGGAGACTAATAAACCAGAAATTCATTGATGTTTTTACTTCACGTTGCATAGTCTGCATTTTTAACTTTGTGCATCATGTGGAGTTATTAGAATATTTCCTTTTCTATTTTTAGATTTTATACAATTATTTATGTCTTTTTTTATAAATTAATAACATACCATTTAGTGGTGTTATTGTGTGTTCTGATCAAGTTAATTGTGGATTCAGATAAGTGTTCTGGTATGTCTGGACCCATTTTATGTTACATCAAAAATAAAGAACATTTCAAACAACTGTGGCCTTCGTTCCATGTTAGCATCAGGTACTTAACTATTGTACCAAAAATGTAGTGGTAGTGTTTGTGGTATATTTTTGTGCTCAGTGAACCAAGCATGTGGACAATAACAAGAATGTTTGATGTGTGTTCTGTGTTTACTAATGCATGAATGTTTTTATTGATGTATCTTTAGGACCGATACTGTATAAATTGTTTCTCTTGTAATAAAAAGATTTTTGTTGAATGTTTGGGAGTAGTATTATATGACCCATAAGTTTTAGCTTCAAGGAAAATTTTGAGAAGTGTTTGTAAAAACAATATGAACATTACTGTAATATTTTGCAAGACATTAGTTGAGAGTGCTGAGAACTGTTACAAAAAATTTTTTTTTTAAACAAAAATGATGTCCTGGTTCTGAAGTATATTTTTCATGTTTGTTTAATGGTGTCTTAACACAGACTGCTAGAATGTTGGAAAACATGAACTCTTGTAACATCTATAAGCAAGAAATAATATTTTTTATCATTCAGCTTCAGTAACAAAACTATGCTCTTTGGAGACATTAAAACAAGGGAAGTGACAGGTTCTTTTTAACATATTTGGGTTGTAAAATTAGAGCTTTGAATAGCTTAATTTCATTTAAATAGCATGTAGCTTTTTTTTAAGCAAGTTCTGCTTATCTTAACGTATTAAGGCAGCTACACATGCATTTAGATGAAAATTGTTTTAGAATAAGTTTAAAAGAAAACTTAGCATGTTTAAAATCTTTAGTACCATACTTAATGTTTAGGAGAGTATGTGTAAATGTTCAGTGCCTTCAGTTCAAAGTAATGTATTTAATTAAATGTGAACATTAATTTCTCTAACAAGAATGTTCTTAGTGTTGCATCAATTTTCTTTGAGTTTGAGTATATTAAAATGAAATCTCTTCTAAATATAATACTTGAACAATACATTCTTGTACAGATACAAAAAGTTTGCTTGAAAATTAATAATATAAATGAATTTTTACAGTTGACAGTAGTCCTGCAGGAACAGTATCAACTTCAAAAAGATGAAGCAACAACTGCCACTCAGAATTTCTTGCGTAACTTTCGCTTGTGTCCTGATAATGGAAATATGAATTTGGATGAATGGCGACACTTTCTCTGGGCTCAAGCTCTTGGCGAAACTCATGCTAGTATTGCAGGTAAAATAATTTTGCGATGTATTAGATATCTTCTTTAACATTACAATACATTAACTGAGTCTCTATAGTACTCCGTCACATGGTTGCGGATCGATGATTCATTCACATTCACCCATGTCGCTGCTGTTCTGTGTTTTGTTGTAACGGTAGCTTTTACTTGTTTGCAGATGATATTGCCAAATTATGGCTGCAACTGAGATACCAGTATCTAGCCATTGCCCCAGAAGTAAGTACTCTGTTGTGCAAACTCAGATGTCACTACCTCCTTGGGCTAATTACTAATGGGCCATCTCGGGCACAATGGGAAAAAGTCCACACCTTAAATCTGCGCCAGTACTTTGATTGCATTCTTGTATCTGGTGACCTCCCATGGGAAAAACCAGATCAAAACATATTTCTTGAAGCATGTCAATATTTGGGAGTGCAACCACGTAACTGTCTAATGGTTGGAGATAAATTGGAAACTGATATAGCAGGAGGACAAAAAGCATCTCTTGGAGGCACCGTATGGATTCCACTCAGCAAAGAAAGCATTGTTGTGTTTGAAGAAGGACCACGACCTGACTTCACTCTTGAGAGTGTGACAGACTTACCTTTGTTGCTACCAGCTAAGTCCAATATATCTCATCTTGCTTGCACAGATTTTGAAGACTGTAACAGTAATGCCAGCGATGGTAGCTAAAATTTTGTTTGCAAAATATTGCAATTCAGGGAAGAAGTTAGCATTGGATTGTTTCGTAAGAAATCCGTTTCAGGTTGCTTCCCTTGCTCATTTTTAAGCATCTTTACTAGAGGCCAAAGGAATTTGTTACTTGTTTTTTGCCAATATACCTAACCTATGTAATGTTTATAGTTCTATTCTTAATGAATTTGGAACTTGCAAAACCAATGTACATGTGTATTTCACATGTTCATAAGTTCCTGCTACTTTAAAAAAGTTAAAATCATGCACATTAGTGGTTTCCTTATTTTGTTCTTGCCTAGTCAAATGAACTCTCACCATTGATTTTGTTTGTTTTGAAAACTCATCACAAAATCTATTTTTAAGTGTGCCTTAAATTAGCATGGGAATGGAAGTCGCTCTGTAAGTTTGATTAATGATCAGCTGTATAAATTACAAGTTATGTGATACCAAAAGTCAATAAGCTGATGTTCATTTAGTTTAAGGATATTGCCTTTTAGATCTGTGAAGTTTGTGATAAAAATTACAAAGAAATGTTAATCCTTTTATATTTGTATTTGTAATAGTTGCCAAATACCTTGATTATAAACTGTACTAAGTATTTTACAATTGAAATGTTAGAGTATTCATATTTAGTACTGATTGGAGAGTATATTTTTATAGATTAGAACTATGATTATCTAGTACCTGTTATAGTCTTCAAGAATGCATTCTGAACTGTTATTTGTAAATCACACAATAGTTGCAAACAAATTCTTTAATAATTAGTAAATGTGTCCCTGTGAATTGGGCAGCTTAATGTATGGGAAAATAAGTATTTTATCTTGCCATAAAGCCATAGAAAAAATACTGAGGTAACTTAGCTGAGTGAGTTTCGTAATTCACAGATATATATTACTGAAAATTGTTCCTGTATTCTTCCAATTTCAAGAATGAAGTAAACATGTGTACAAGACAACCAATTATAGAGCTTACATATTCTGCATTTTAAATCACAGCTCTGATTGAAGGTTTTCTCTGAAGGTCTCAACACTCTCAGATAGTTCATTCCTACTCTTGCATTCAACAATGTGTGTAGTGTTTTGAAAAACTGCTAAGAAATGATTTGTGTTATTTTAACTATCTAAACTCAAAACAATAGATAGAATTTGGACTTAATGTCTCGGTATCAAATTTGTATTACATGAATTCAGACTACTTCTGCAAGTTTCAGTATTTTTCAAAACTAGCATTGATTTATTATACTATCTTCAATATAGTCAGTACAAATAAAATTAGAATGTATTTGACATTTGGGGGTGGAGGAGGACAGTGTTGCACATTCTCAACACTTAGCAAACAGAAGAAAGGAATGTTGAAAAACTCGTTACAAGTTTGTTTGTAACATTTGTTCCCTAATTTTAGGAGGCAACAATGTGCAAATACCTAAACTTCTGAATCACTGTTCCTTAGGTGAAGGCACCGGTATTATCACATGAGCACGAAATGTCAACAACATTCTAATATTATTTTAATCTTACAACCTGGTGATTCTCAAGGAATGTTAAGTTTCAGTAATTATGTGCAAAATCAGCTTTTGTATATCATTTAATGCAGTCAAAGCAATTGCAAGTGCAGAGAATGTAAAACCTAAGGTGTAAGAAATATCAATGAAAGTTCACATGTGCTCCCTCAATTATATGAAGAGTGTGTGTGTGTGGGGGGTCCAGTTAGTCATATTGAGATGGCAGAAAATTTGTATGGTTTGACCCTAATACGATTTTAAATTACTCAGAACATTCATCATTGTTGCAAGTCCATAGATAACGGTATAAAAGTATAGTCAAAGTAAGTGCCATTGCATACGAGCTGCAGTGACTGCCCACATTCCCCCCTACACTCTTCATATACACAATGTACTCTTTCATATACAATTTCTTTTTAGTTTGTGCAATGAAATAAGTTATTTGAATATATACCACTGCATAAATGCCACCGACTACTACCCAGTAGCAGCTTGGGAAGATTATCCCACTCTTTCTCCGTCCAAGTTTTCAACCATGCTTATCAACATGTAAAGCAGGAAGGTACAAAAATAAGAACATGGCATGGCCAATACTGTCTGAGTCCAGGAGATAAATGTGATGTATTAACTATGTATTTTTCTTTAATATAGAACGCATTTGTAGAATGTGTTTCTATTTAAATGTACTGTTTCGGGACTGCTCACTACATGCATATTGATTAGTAATACTAATAAAGATTTTAATTATAATGAAGTTTTCTTTATATCACCATACTACAAATCCACATTACAAATTTTATAACATGAACGAGATTATTTGCAAAGTTATATTCATACAAAACCAAATTACTTACAATCTTGTCAATAAAGTAGTGGCTATTTTTGTGGGATGTTGTTCATCCCACTGTCTAAATTCTAGGGCACACTTTTTTCTTTCAGCTACATACCCAAGTTCATTATACAATAGAGCTAACAAATATAATACATCTTTCATTCGTGAATAGGCCTCAACTTTCAAAAAGGCATTCCTGGCCTTTTGAAGGATTTGAACAGCTTCCAAAATAGCAGGTTTCCTATTTTCATCATTCTGACTAGAAGCAGAAGCAACTCTACATTTTGCATATAGTAATAATGCCCTTCCTTGATCAAAATATCCACCATGTGAGAGAATCACCAAAAGTGAATCGTTCACTAATTTCAGGGCCTGTGATGCCAAACCCATTTGTAACTGGACATTGGCAAAATGCAACCCTACTATTGCAGATAAGTAATCCAAGAAATGCAATTGAGCGAGGGCAAGTGCTGTGGTCAGAAGGGAAATCGCTCCTGCAGGCGAGCTCGCTGCTGTAGCACTACAGCACTGGAGCTCGGCAGTCAATATCAGAGCTCGTACGTGAACAGACGAACACATGAATTCATCTTCTGCATGAAGCCTACAGTAGTCGAGGACGGAATACACACATGCTGCAGCACATGGATAATTCCCTCTTGCTAAGTACAATTCTGCCTTGCGTAATTGACTTTCCCATCTGTCAATGGCCACCAGTTGTGCAATTGCCTGTTCTGCCTCTTGCCACTTTCCGTTATGCATTGCTTCAGTGAAATTTAAAATTTCTCCAGAAAAGATCCACGAGTGAGATGTTGGTTCATGTGGGAAACATTCTCTTGCATACCCAATAATAAGAGATGCGATATGATATTCACCTTGTTCTACAAGAACATTAATGACATTGCAGATTGCTTGGCAGGTGCCTTCCCCATTGTATGCAACTATTCCCTGTGCAGGGTTGGCTGTATTGAGGTGTAATAATAATTGGCTACATAAAGATACCATATCTGATTTTCCATACAAACACCAGAGAGCTGCTTTCTGAGCATAACTATTAGTAAGCAAGTCAATCATGGAATGTTGACAATTTAAAACATCACTCTTCATCAGAAGATCAAACACTAGAGCTGGCTTTCCTCCAGTGGCACCAGCATATTGAGCAAATGACTGAATTCCCAAAGAAGTCAAATAACTTAAATTTAAATCACTACTTTTCGATATTGAACGTTCCATTAAAATTTCTTTATTTTCATCACTTAACTTATAAAGCCATGCAAGAACATACTGAAGGCAAATGTTATCATTGACATCTTGGGCAAGCATTACTGCCTCTTTTAGAGCAACATTTGCTTCTTTCTTATATCCAAATTGAGCATAAAGCATAGCCAAATTGAGAGCTGCATAACGATAACCTTTATTTCTTTCTTCCTGATTACTAATTTTCTCTGCAGTCAAAGTGTTCCTATCGAAACAATGAAATAAACTATTTACAGCACCACAAAACTCTTTTGCACGAAGACAGTTCAAGTATGTTAAGTAATGAGCTTCGGCATACTCAGGATTGGCTTGCAATAAATCTTTTATCTTATCTTGTAAATGTGGAGGAGATAGAGCAGCCATTTCATTACTCTGAATAAGTGATGCCTGCTGAGCAATGAACAATTCAGCTTGTCTTCGAGACCAAAATGTTCTATCACTTTCATTCTTCACAGATGTAACGGTCTCAATCTCATGAGAATACTCCTCACAATCTGGTAATGGAATTGACACATCACATAAACTCATTTCTACTTCTTGTCCAGAATTAATAGAATCATCTTTACATTTCACTACACTCTTCTTCGGGTTGCTTCTTTCAAAGTACTTCTGATAAGCTTTGTACATAAGAACTACTTGAGAAAATGACATCTTATCAAAAAACACTAAAATTCTTCTCAAGTATAAACCAATAACACTAGTTTTATGAACAACGGGCAAAACTGTGGATGGTTCCACCATTAATTGTTTCACATTTTGCATTAGATCTAAAACACTTCCCACTCCATTATCATACAATTGTTGTAACTGTGTATTAAAAGTCTTTAAATGTTGAGGAAGAAGTTGAAACTTGTCAGTCTGCAATAACTCTTGCAATTCATTAAGTTCTAGGTCAGGACACTGTATTAACTTCAGTACCAGTATACAAAAATCTCTCTTATGGCATGGCTCCAGGCAGTAAAATCCACCTTCATCCAATTCCAACACTTGATCTGATCGTGATTTAAGCTTCAACGAACAAAATTCTTTTATTAGGAGAACGACAGATATTCTGTGAGGTGTAATATTTTCTCTGTTCGATTTCCTCTGCACCACACCAAAATTATACATGTCAGAACACATTATGAGTTTAAGAACAGAACTATATTTGAAAATAACAGTAACGCAGTCTCATACGTTAGATATGGGCAAGTGTCAATATTCACAACAATCAAATGTTATTCGCTGCCTGCATTTCCAACCGACACGATTCATTTTCGCGGTGCCCTACAAAACTTCTTTAACCCAACCTCCCTTTGAAATGGCCAGAGAGCATCAACTCCATAAGCCCCACACCACCCCACACAATCACAAAGTAGACGCCCGACAATAACATATATCGTAGTATCTGTATCCGCACGAATTTCTCTTCCTGGGCAAAGCACACGCGATCAATGAATACCGACCGCCTTCTGTATTTAAAAACAATTGTTATCAGCAACACAGCAGCGACTCAATTATGCACAACTATGCAGTCGATGGTTGGCACCCATGGTACAAGGATATTGCTTTCCTCCCCCTGAAATGACGTCACAACGTTTGGCGGGAAAATGTTGGGCGGCAAGCTCCAGTGTGCTCCTGGTGTGCTCGTAAGCGTTTTGTAGAGCAGTAGAGAGGTTTTGGTCGCACGATAGTTGTCACGATTTGTGTTTTTTGTCACGTTTGTTATTTACAATTTGATATTTGCCTCCTTTTCGTTTGTTTAGGTTCTGACCACAAATCTCGTTCATAAAAGTTTGTTTTAAAGAAGCTCTATTCTATCTGATATAAAGAAACGCTATTCTATCTTATCTGATATATCTATTAAGTCACTACCATTTCATTTCTAAAATAGTTTGAAATAAATTTTGTCATTACTTTAATGATAATGTTAAGGAACTACTTCATAATAAATGAAATGTATAAAAAATTGCCCATTTATCCCCACCAGCCCATTCATCGGATATGAAAAATGTTAACAACTAACATGTGCAATGTGATTTCAGGTGCTGCAGTAGGACTTGGTGTAGAAATAGGAAAATCTGGCCATAACCTGTCTCCTCTTCCCCATTTCAAGATTTAATCAAGGAATACTGTTAAACCATATGTAGCTGTTACCATAATTGTTATCATGTACTTTTAGTATTACTATTATTATTATTTTATAAGTAAGCTATTATATTTATTATTAATTATTATATTTATTATTAATTATTATTATTATAAGTAGTAGCAGTAAAATCACTATATCAAGAAAATGATATTAAAAAAAATGAAATGGTATAAATTTTGAAATGTTAAAATATTTTAAATTAAACTAAAGTAAGTCAAATGTTCAACTATTTGCTGCTAAAAATAATTATCTCGTATGTAATATCTTAATATATCTGTAACGAGTATTGTATAATCACTAGGCCAATGATCCCATCTTGATCAGGTTTTTTGTCTAGTTCCCGTGGTCGTTTGCACAAATGCTGAGATAGCCCCTTGTTTGCTTCTGGACAATAAAAATTAATGTGACTTCACTCGTTGCTCCCAAGATGTATACGATTGTACTCCCTCTAAATATATTATATTTGACCTGTCATACACAATTCTAATTGTATATGTGACTCAATAATTATTATTATTAACGAATTTTGATCCCCTGTGCATTTTCAGGAGTTCCCTCTGTATATTTTATACTATCGGCTTTGAAATATTTATTTTAGAAAATTGTATTCATTACTATCAGTCACTACTGAGAAATATTACCCACAATAAACTTTAATAACCCTTCTGAAAAAAATTCAGAATGTTCATAAAAACAGCTCACAAAATATTCATAATTTTTCACACAGTGCAGGAAAGGGAAATATTACACTAATTTGATCAAAATTTTATACAATGTATAAATACAATGTATTTATACAATTTTATAAAATGTATTAATTATAAAAAAGTATGGTTATTTAAACATATAAATACATATTGGATTTTGTTTATTTATCATATTAAAAATTACATTTTTGAAGTTTCCTGCAGTGAATTCACATTTTGATTTTTAAATTTCAATATTGAAGCCACGTGTTTGAAATATTATTTTTGTTCTCCTTATTGACTTTGAAATAAAAGATTGCATTTTTTTAGGACATAAATTACTAGCAGTTCAGATTCATTTTAAAAATTAAAAATCTTATCATTATTTGACAAATAACTATTTTTAGAATACCTTTGGCATCGCAATAATTTTTGGGGTCATTGGTTGAGGCACAATTTGCATATATGGTTTGATATCATTGGTTCTAGAGGTGATGAATTGAGTTGGTAATATTTGGGTTTAGTCTATAAACAAAATGTATTTAACGTCCAAAAGTTCTTAGTGGCTTATCAATATTGTAACAATATTGATACCGCCTTCGCCGCCCCCGCTGTAAGCTTTCCTTTTGTCGTCGCTTTCTGGGAAAGGCTGTCCATTGACCAGTCATTACCGGATGTCGCAGCTTTATGGTTCTCAGAAACTACCCGGTAAACGCAAATTAACTTTCAGAATTTTAAACATTTTAAGAAACAAATTTCAACGGACATGCGCCGATATTGGATTGTGTGAGTACAAGCCCTACTCTCACACCATTCGTTCAAATACAACTAATAGTGTGCTACCTCGTCGCTGAATGGTTGGGAGACGGAAGTGCGGTGGTGAATTTTGCCTGCCTGCCGACGTCTCCGCTAGCCGCCGGCTGCGGTCACTGACACCATCGTCGCCGAGCCGGGGTAAAAGGGATTGCCCGTACCTGAACATCTCGGGCAAAGGAAAACTGACTGGATTTTTATTCTCACTGTGCAACAGCTCTTGCTGATCCGCCTGTGCCTGTCTCGAAGTGGAGAAGAGATTGTAAGCATCCAGTACATCAGGAAATGGTGCCCACATATCTCCCTGCCTGAAGTCACAACACCATTGGGAAATCGGCAAGCTGCTTGATCCTCAGGACAGAACTTTCAAACCCCAAGCTCTCAGTCTCGCTTACAAAGTGGTGGAATTCTTATTGTTTGACCTGGAGCCTAATTTATTGTTCTTTAGTTAATAACTTGTACACCATGGTATTTAGCTGTTTTATCAAGGAAATGTTGCATCATTTTTGTTAAATGCAGGACAAACGTTCACATTACACAGAAAGTACAAGTACAGTAGGTTTACTTCATTGTGTCTGTTGCTGAAGATAACTGAGATAGTGATGATTTTAAGAGAGAAACGTGCTTGTATTGAGAAACAGCATTTTTAAAAGGCTCCAGGGTAATTTTTATTATTTGCTTGACCGAACCTGACAAAGTTTTCCCCTTCCTGAGAATTCAACTCTATGGTTGCTTTCAATTTTGTCTGGTGCGTTAGTTTCAGATTGTTTTTGTTCTTTTGTTTGTATTGGTTTCGATTAGAAAGTGGTAGCACAGCCCTGGATCATAAGGTTGCTCTGTGGTAGTTGCACTTTAAACACCCCCAAGCTGCACATAAAATGGCATTATTTTCACCTCCTTTTGTAGGGTGCAACACAATGAGAGGCTTATCAACTTGCAGTTAATAACTCAATATTAACCTTTAGTTAATAATTTAATTACTGCTGCATTTAAGTTATAATTTATAATATAATGTATAAATTGCATTTAATATAAGCACAATTACTCTCAGCGTCCACTTACTGTCTGAAAGCAAATTACAAACTTGGCATTCTCTTTAAGATTTGCTAGGAAATGGAATGTTGAATAATGAAAGCGAAGAAACACAAGTTAGTTTACAAAATGTTTTAAAATTACTTAAATTTCATCTAGTATTCTTGCGACTCCAATTCAAATGGATAACAATGAAATTGGGAAATGTAAATTAGTGCAACATTCATTCAATCTTAGACATTTAATATTATAAAATAATTAATAGATAATTTTGTGTAAAATAATTTTGGAAAATATATGGAAAAGGAAGAATAGGACTAATGGTACAAAACTAAAAAGTACTTCCATTTCCAATACTTTATCCGTTTAGATATTAATCTATTGCCATTTTGTAATTACACCAAGCTTCTGACATTCTAAAATAATGTGGCATATGAAAGATTAATTCATTTCAAATTTGTACAGTTGTGTTTAACTTTTATTCTTTTAAAGAATTTTTGTTTTACATTGCCTTTTCCATTAATATGTTTTGTGATGCACTCTTATTAAACGAAAGAATTTCAAGCAGATGTATGAACACATGGCTTAAGTGTTAATTGCATATTTGCTAAGCATGCGATAAGAGAGCTGGCCTGTTTTGGATTGCTTGTAATGTCATTGACAGTAGAAGTTTGTCGGATGATAGTAATTAAATGAATATTATAATATTTTGGAAATCAATATTGTCATGTTCAAACTAGTATTTTATTGCAATTTTCATAAGTAATATCTTTGCATATGCTTGGAATTACATACAGTTAACATAATTGGAATGATCGAATACTAATAAGATTTTTGATATCACGAAGCAGCTTTATTCCCCTCAGTATTCGTAATAGCAATGGATTTGTTAATTCACTTCAATACTGATTGATTGAAAGAGATTTTCTCTCAAGCACTCGAAGATCAAGTATTTTCATAATAGATATTATGTTGATTTATTGAAGTAACTACATGATTGTTGTGAATGTTATGTTTTGTCTATTATTTACAATCCATATTTATCAAATTGTTATTACTGGAGAATTTGTAGTATTCTTCTAGAAAATTTACAATTGTTTTTCCGATAATTTATATAAATTGTCATTATCATTCATTATTGAGTTGTTTGTTATCCTGGTCACTTCTATGCTCATTATATATCCTACTTTTCCTACTGAATCCTCAAGAATTGATTGGAAATGAACTCTAAAAGGAATGTACAGAAAAAAATACTGTGGCATCTAATTGGTGGAATTATCTTACCCCCCACCATGGTACGGTCCCCACCACCACACTTTGTTTAATTGGATTCCGGCCCGTTCGACGCAGCACTAACGCAGTCAGCGAGAATTAACACGTAGTGTCTAGCCCGGTCGGAAGTAAAAGTCCGTCAGTGTGATACGCAGTCGGAAGTATAGCAGTCAGTGTGAGTTGCAGGTCAGTGAGTTAAGCTAGTCTAAGTCTGTCTGAAGCCTATGCTGATAAAATTGCATTTGCGGTGAACAGTGGTGCAGTAGGTTGCCAGTCCTGAAGTAGAAGCTGAGCTGTGAAATGTGCATGCGGTGAACAGTGGCCTGTGCAGTAGGTGCACAGCAGCCTGAAGTCGGAAGCTGAGTTGTGAAGTGTGCATCGCGGTGAATAGCAATGCAGTGGATCAGCAACTTGAATTGTGGTCTGTACAGTGAATTGTGGACAGTGCATCGGACTGTGCAATAGTGTAGAAGTGAATAGTGTAAATAAATAATCAGAAGATGTGTGTAGTAAATAAATAATTAAGAGAACAGAGTCGTGTATAAGGAAATAACCAAGTGCAGAACACAACACAATCTGAAAATAAATTAAGTA